GCTATGGGATAGGATGGTGCCGATCGGGATAGAAGCCGGCGAGAGTTGGATGACAGTTTGCATTGCGGAGGGTTTTGTTGTAGCAGAGCAGCGGGAGGCGGCATCGTTGTTTTCGGTTGTGTTGTTGCAGCTCGTGTCTCGCTTGCTCCAAGGAGATTCGGGGCCAGTCCCGAAGTACCTGGTTGTCTGATCACAAACGAACTGTATGCTGTATTCAAACCCGATGATAGTTTTTGTGGATCTACCGGAGATTTGACGGAGGTTTGATTGGGGCGAGATCGTTTGCTTTCCCCTTCGTAATATTTGCGTACGATTGATCTGCTGCAAGCCTCTGCACCAGCAGTTTTTCTTTTTGTTTTGTACGCATGGGATGCCAATGTATGCAAATTCATGGCAGTGCAAACAGGTTTGCCGCTGCCCCTGGTTGAATCGTAACGAGAGAAGGAATGTTTTTCGATACCACTACACGCGCGACATGAACACCGGTTTGAACACCACCGAAGTCATTGTAACGGTTATCCCATAGTAAGTCACGAACGTAGATGACATCACCGTATTCGGCGAGGAAAACTGCGATTTCTTCGTTGGAGATGCCTTCGGGTAGCTCAAAAAACTTCACGAATTTCGTTCTTTCATAAATCATTATTTTTTTAGAGGCAAAACGGCGAAGGAAACAAAAGAAAAGTTGTATAAATATTATAGGGCTAATGCTCCGTCAGATTACACCGTCAAATATTGGTTTCGAGAGTTTCGTGATGGCCGCAACTCCACTACCGATCAAGTCCGCAGCGGCAGGCCGATATGGTTACAGAGGACAATGTCAAAAAATACATGAAATGGTGTTGGATGACCGGTGAAGGTGAAGTGAAGGTGCGCGAGCTAGCAGATACCCCAAAGATTAGTACCGCAGACAGACATTCAAGCAAATACAAATTTTATCAAAAATTTTGGGTAAATTTTCAAACCAGAATACGTTAGAAATCACTTGCTTACTAGCGCCACGTAGGTTAAAAATTTCCACAGTAAAATTGACAGGCTATCATGTTTTATTGTACGTTTTCATACTAGACAACTGGAAAAATAAAAGTTTCGTCAACTTTTCAAAACATAACAATATTTTAGGCAAACCTTCTATCAATTAATTAAGCACGTTGTGGCATATTCATTCGAACTGATTTACGATTTCGCTTTGTTTCACGCTTATTGTTCTCTGCTACTTTATTTTTGAATCGAATTTCTCTCAGGAACCCTTGAATGAGAGTGTTGTAAATGAAGTCAATCAATCTAGCAAAGCAAGCCTTGCAAACTGCGTTGTCAAAGTGCTCGTAAGCAACATATGCTTTTAAACGAGTTTTCACATCTTTTCTGTTCTCAAACAAAAATTTCCGAAAATTTTGCTTGAATGCAGCAAATACTATCAGCCCGATAGCGTGAAGAGTATTATTTGGGATATCAACGTTTCGTGATGAGGCCCGGGATTTTAATCTAGAAAATGAATAGTCGACGCTTTCAGCTTAGCACAGAATTTTTCGTGAGGCAGTTTGTAAATCCCAATTCCAAGAACATAAACCAGCGCGTTGAGCTCCTTTCTCTGTGCAACAAAAAGAGTGTCGAGGTCAAGTTCTTCAACTTCGAATGAAAGTGTGGCTACTGCTTCTTAGTAAAGTCCATGCAAAAGAGGCTGCAGCCCGTCGTTTTGGCAGTTTTTTCCCTATCAAATGTTTCGTTTGCAGAAGACAGCATAGCGTATTTCAAGGCAATACTGAACTGATATGCATTTGGGGCATCGTTAAACCCGCAACGTCACCGAATCTCCGAGAAGAAATTTTCCAGGCAATCCGGACAGAACGGATTCGTACACAAGTACTTACAGTCGTATGTATTCTGTTCTCATTTTTGAAATAACAAATCAAAACACGAACGCGAGAGCACTTCGAAAGAGCGTTTGACGGCGCCGGTGGTGTAGTGGTAAGCGTGACAGCTTTCTAACACTCCAATGGGTCTGGGTTCAATTCCAGCCGAGGTCGGTGGGATTTTTCTGAGGCATAAAAATCTCTGGTCACGTCTTCCTTCGGAAGGGAAGTAAAGCCGTTGGTCCCGGCCCATGTGTGTTTGAATGGGTGTGGAAGCTGCCTTCCTGCACATTCGATTGCCGTCAATGGATGGCAATCGATGTCTGACGGTGATTGGCACTAGATTCCGGAACAGAGACCGACGTTAAATAAAGGAAAGAAGAAAGAGCGTTTGGAATTGTTGATGCAATATCGGGTGGACTTTTGGCGTCGATTGGTAACTGTTGATGAAACCTGGATCTACTATTACACCCCTGAGAACAGAATAAGTGCCCGGCAATGGACGGAAGCCGGCACGAGTGCTCCAAAGCGGCCGAGGAAGGCTCAATGGGTCGGAAAGGTTATGGCGTCGGTTTTCTGGGATTGTCATGGCATACTCTTCGTGGACTACCTTGAAAAAGAAAAAAAAAACCATCCACAGCGAGTATTAATATGCATTATTGGAGCGATTAAAGGCCAAAATCGCTGCAAACCGGGCTCACATGAAGCGATTTTTTTTACAAGAGCATCGCAACCACGGTTAAAATCAATGACCTACGGCTCCAATTGCTTCCGCATCCACCCTATATTAGCCCGATTTGGCTCCCTCAGACTATTATCTCTTCCCAAACCTCAAAAGATGGCTCACCAATAAAAATTAAGCTCACGTGAGAAAATCATCGACGCCGCGGAGGAGTATTTTGCAGACCTTCTGGAAAATTACTTTTCGGACCTGATCATGAAGTTAGAAACTCGCTGGAATAAGTGTATCGAGCTTAAAGAGGACTATATTGAATAAAATTAAAAAAAAAACAACCGAAACAAATCATTCCCAAGTAACTTTACTTTTCACCACGTCTTCTTCTTCTTCTTCTTCTTCTTCATCTTCTTCTTCTTCTTATTCTTCTTCTTCTTCTTCTTCTTCTTCTTCTTCTTCTTCTTCGCATTTCAAGCTTAATGCTTATCGTATCAACTTAGTGTTCTAGATGCACTTCCACAGTTATTAATTGAGAGCTTTCGATGCCTGTACCATTTCTGCATTAGTATAATCTGTGGCAAGTCCAATCATACTTCTATGCCCAGGGAAGTCGAGAAATTTCCCAACCCGAAAAATTCCTAGATCGGACCGGGAATCGAACCCAGCCACCTCCAACATGGTCTTGCTTTGTAGCTGCGCCTTTACTGACTGAGCTAAGGGAGGCCCCACCTAGAATATTTCATCGTTAATTATATCGCAATCAAATTTATGACGCAATCAGTCTGCGTGGGAATAATCTAGATTTCACTTTAACGTGATAAAATTTTGATACGCTTTTCATCTTGCTTCGACGCCATTTTGACAACTGAATGGACAATGGCAAAAACAAAATAGAGGCAACATTCCGTACGCACATACCTACAAAATGAAGGGTTATCAAGTTTTTTTAAATGCATGATTTTAAACAAAATTAGCCAAATTTTAGTTGACCAATTTTTGACCGTTCCACCCTTTATCTGAAAAGTTGACATGCTTTTCCTATACAAGTTACTTGATGAATTGAGTGTATTGTTATAATGTTTATTTATCAACTCACCCCGCTATCATATGACCAACTAGCCCTTTCATGTATAAAAAACTAAATTGCACTCAAGATGTGAATAAAAAAAAACATGACAAAGATTTCCGTTAATAATACTTAATACTAATTAAATGGACCTTCGTTATGCGATGAAACTGAATTATTTGATCGATGTTAGCAATTATTAGAAGACAAATCTCAGTTTGCAAACTATGGATGATTTTTGGTGAACTCTGAGCCATGGTTGCAAAGTCTCATTTCAGCTAAAACAATGTTTTTCTACATTATGAAATAATTAGATGCCATGATCAAATTTTGAATTGGTAGGATACAAGAAGAGGTTGCAAAGAATGTTTTTGACATATTAAACCTGTTTATTTCACTTCATGAGAGTCACAATCAGCGATTTTTCACAAACTCACTCACTCACTCAGCGATCAGCAAATCGCTGATTGTGACTCATAGAAAGCAAAATTTACAGGTTTTATGTTTCCAACGCATACTTTGTAACCTCTTCTTGTAAGTTACAAGTAAAACATGCCATCATACCATCTTTTGGTTCTATTATTCCGAAAAACATTACTTTAGCTGAAATGAGTCTTTGCAACCTTGCTCTGAGCCCTATGACCAACTAGTTCCGCCCTACTCTACTGTAAATCTTGACGTCGTGAGAAACGGATGTTTAAATCCGTTGTCGTTTTGAGTGGTCACTAAACTTACAACTTCAAAATACCAGCAAGTTAAAAGAAAACACATCAATAGTATAACAATCTCCACTTACCAGCTTGTAATGCCGGATGTATTCTCAATAATCTCTTTCTGAACGCCAATTAAGTGTGTTTTTATTATTTATTTGATCCATTGATCCACCTTAAAATTATATAAATCCCTCACTCGAACAAAAATGCCAAACAAGTTTGATTACATCACACAGTATGTTTTGGCAAACGAAAGATCCTGTTCCTTATAGTAATTTAGAGCATCACACCGGCAATCAACCCCTATTAAGCATTGCCTCAGTAAAAATCATCTCCACGATTCAAAAATGATACATGGTTAAGGGGTCTAACCTAACCATTTAAATCTCCTTTTCAAAGTGCTGGTTTTGATGAATACACAAGCCGTTAGTCAGCTTACAGACGTCCACTTTGCAAAACAATACTCGTCAATCAGGGACCACAAAAGCAGCCACCGTTTTGGACCATGCATATCCATTCATCGGTAAATTATGCCCGCAATAATGAGTGATGCACGATGGTGAAGATAATGGCAGCCTAGGCAAAGCCTTCGCTAATAAAAGTAAAAGTGAACCAGCGCGCTCTCGCTACAGACCATTGCGGACCCCGGTGAGAGTCAAACCACGCTTCCAGTCACAGTTTAGTTCGTAACGGCGCAGCGATGAGGTTGCAATCGGTTCGGTGGGCAACAATCGCCCAGGGCTTTCTAACGTTCGCGTTCGTGGTCGCTATAGCTCATGTTGCGAGTGATGTGCAAATTTGTAATTATGAGAAATTTGAACTGTACGACAGTATGTATCAGAAGATTAAAGATGATTTTTGCGTGTTTAAAGATGTGTTTATGTCATCCGATGTACGGTATGGTGATTTCATGGCCAGCAGTTTAGATTATCAGAAAATTGCGTTTGTAAATTCAAAATTCCCGATCGTGCCTCCATCACTGTACCGAAATTTTGACGATATTCGAGAGCTCTACGCACGAAGATGTTCGCTGGACTCCCTGAGGATAACAAGGTTGATTGAGAAAATGTACGCTGGAAACAACCAAATCACATCAGTAATAGTGGACGGAAATGGATCAAACAACCTAAAGGAGCTGTACTTGGAAACGAACATGATAAAAGATGTCTCCAATATCACAAACTTGCCAAACTTACAAGTGCTGGTTCTGGAAAACAACCCGTACATCGGCAACTTGGATCTTGCCATTTTCTCCCGTATGACAAAAATGTGGAAGCTGGATCTTGAGAACACAGGCATGACAAGAGTCATAAATAGTCTCAGACTCAATCTGTTGGCACTGAAAAGGCTTGATCTTTCAAACAACCAGCTCACCTACGTCGATATGCAGCTATTGCAAACATTTCCCAAACTAGAACATCTGTGGCTCAACGGCAACAAAATATTCTACATGGAAATTGAACCGATCAGAACATTTTTGCCAGACATCCGTAGCATTGTGATCGATGACAATTACTGGGGTTGCCAACATCTGTCCATAGTCAGCAAATATTTCCTCGACAACAATATCATCATTCGAAGTGGAGAATGCAAAACTCGATCCGTGCATAAAGTTTGCTGCGACGATACCACTGATCTGATCGATTATCGATATATCATCGAGATGAGCATAAAAAATGAAGCCAAATTTCATCAGGAAGTCAAAAACTTGGACCAGGAAAATCACAAACTGCAAGAAACAGTCGATGGAATGCGGAACCAATTGAGCAGTTTGATTCAGAACTACACCGGCATGATTCAAGAGATGAAAAATGTTGCAACCCAACCTCCACCAACGCTGTCCCCTTCGTCTGAATCAGCTGAAGATTATTCGTACTATGAAAGTAGTGAACCGGAGCACGATCAGGACTCGGATCCAGATGCAGATAATTCCGAATCTATCGTAGAAGAAGAAGGTTATACCATACCGGATGACGATATCAGTGCCGGACGAAGCTTACCAATCAAAAATACTGTATGAAAATAAAAGTGTGGTTATAGTTTGGTGTCGTCCTATATACATATGAAGCAAAATCGATTGATAACTACTGCAGTGATGTAACGAAATATTTCAACACAATCAAGAAACGTGCCAATTATTAGTGCCTTAATTGTTAAGAATTGTGAACGCATTGAAAACGAAGCAAATCATAGATCGTAAAACAATAAAAGGTCAAATGTTGTGTCCTGCCATCTTGCACTGGATATTGCACCAACGATTCAATGAAGATAAGACAGGTAGGTCTCAATGCAGCAGCAACATAAAGTGTAGCTCCAATAGCCGTTACACTGGTTGTAAATAGAGAGAATCATGCTGAGAATGGTTTAAATGTTATTCGGGTAATTTAATCTTCATCGCAGTTGAACTATACTTGGGTAATTAACGGATTTACGTATGTTACTTTGGCCCATATGTAAAATCTCGATGTATTAGGTGCGTGAAATAAAGTATTAAAGGGAAGCTATCGAACATTTTCTCGCAATATTGCATAAGACTAGAGGGACATGAACGAAATAATATGCACAGTCAATATTACAGAGTTGTTAGGATCAGCTATTTGATTATTTTTTAAGATTGTCAACTTCTTAGATAGTTAATAATTTCAAAACAGTTTTACTAAAAAGTGGTCGTAATCAAAATTGCAGTTGATAAAATTTCCTTCAAATTAAGCTTTGAAACTTGGTCTCATATCTATATTTTAAATAAGGCTAGATGTACAGGGGCGCTTGATTTTGATAAAAGTGATAGATTTACTCTAGGCGATCTTCCAGCTTAATTATTAACCCCAAAATATGAGTAAGTACAAAAAATGGTAAAGATTAATGAAGGTTTAGAGGTCCCGCAAATTGGGAGCTGATTTAAAGAGTGTAATGGTCAAAAATTCCGAATGCACAGGTCTACAAAATGAGGGGTGTTCAAGTTTTTGACGTTGGACTACGTGTTGGAGCAGGTTCGTGATTTCCGTTAAATATTTAACCGGTGGGAAAATCCAATGTGCACTGCAACTATGCTGAGTGGGGGTGTGAGCATCGCCTAACACTCCAGTTGATTCTTGCACTGAACTTTTGGGTTTGCGCCTAACCGCCACTAGGAGTCACTTCTTCTTTTTAAAGGAAACACTTTGCAACCTTGGATTTGGAGTTATTAACTATTAACTTGGGATACACTTTAGGTCTGGTTTTTTGGCTAGCTCGTTTTGGAATAATTTATCACTAATAATTCAATTAACTCTAAACCTAATTTGCTTCTACTACTAAAGTGATTAATTTTTATTCAACTTATTTCCAGTACTACCATAGAGGTAACTCTAAGACCAGAAGATCTCGAAGAAACGAGCTCAACTTTTTGGCTCAGCTCTGGTACTATCTTCGGTCCCAACCCAAGTAACAATTCAGTTACCATTTAGCATCCAATCTGATTTATGATGGTTTTATAACGCCAATAACAATCCATTGAGTTTAAATATAGCATTTCAAAGTGTAAAACATTCCTGCTAAGTAATTCAGCAATTTGCTGTTTTAAAAACCTTTTATAGTCTGGCAAGAAAGTCAAAAACTGTCTTGTTTTATTTATTATTTTTTTTTTTTTTTTTATTTATAGTCACTTTAACGCTCTTGGGTCATTCGTCATTTGTCTTGTTTTAAAAATAAATTTAAAACAGTTATCAATCTCTCCTTAAAACTGTTCAGTAAATCAAGCATAAACGTCTTTAGCAATTGTTTATTAATGTCATGATAAAATACTTTATAAACGTGTTCTATCATTATAAAAGCAACCATAAAACCATTAGGTTTTGCAATAGAGCAAAAAGCATTTATTGTTGCTTTTAATGCTTTTTAAAGTGCATCATTAACTCCCCAAATTGAGCTTAAAAGATGGTTCCTCATAGGTAATAAATGCCAACTTTATGACAAGGAATCTGGAAGAATAGACGAAGTAGGATGAAAAAATCAAGTCAATTTCAGATAAATTAACTTCTTTAGAAGAACCAGCATAACAGCAACGACTGACCATCTGTCAGAGAAGAGTAAAGTGAGCGGGGCCCTCGAACTCATAAAAAATTGTCGAAAGCTGAAAAACATACCAGCCTTCTCCAGATCTTGCGATGACAATCGGAATAACAACCGACAGCAAACTGTAAGTTAGCGGAGATTAGCTGGTTTCCGATCCAAAGCAGCGATTTTATTCGGCGAAAGAATCAACTCTTTGAAAATTTCATTCAAGCGTACATCCCTGGATCATTGGATGGTGCACTTCTGTAACCATCCGGAAGAAGGGGATCTTTTTCGGGAACGTTTGCCCTTCCAGCTGTTCGAAATGCGAAATGTTGTAAAACAGTATCGCAAAATATCTGAGTAACTGCTCCCAATCCATCGGGAGAAAACCGCCGGGAAGAATCATGGATCTCACAGCGCAACTATCGAAAGATAAACAAACTTTGATGTTTAACTTTTTGCAGGCAACTTTGCCTCCATAAATGCTGCCATAAATCTGAACGGTTTAGGATCAAGCAAAATGGCTTTGGATGTATACAATTCAACCTGCAAGTTTTCTTCATAAAAGCCATTTTAAAACCTTATTAATTTGCTAAGAAATTCTTGAAAGCAAAACAACTTTTTCACAAATGACCCATGAAAATCAACTTTTATGCCATTTTCAATCAACATTTCCTTAGATATAATTATATTTTGGTAAATTTAGCAATAAGCAAACATTTAAATGCGAAAATAATAAAAAAAAAATCTCGGTCAAGCTCGATCTTAAGAATATACTTTTTTTTTAATGTTATATTATTAGTCAAATCGACGTTTTACGAGGGTGCACTTAATTTTTTCGATGTTTCCACGTACATTTCACATAAAATTTAATATGGCACTTAAAATTATGCCACTTAATAAGAACTATTGTAATAAATTTGGATATTCAACAAGATTTTTATACCATCACTTTCTATTCTAATTATTTTGATAAGATCGGATTTATAAATCCTTTTCTATCTTGATTGTTGCTTTCCTAGTGGATTCAGCATGCGGCTAGGGGAAATGGCTTGGAAAGGTTTGGCTAGGTTTTGGTGCATGAATTAATGACAAAATAGCCTTGACCAGGGTTTTATGAATGTTGTTTTATAGTTGCTTTGTAGTATATCATAAAACTTAAAATGTTACTTGGGCAAGCTAATCGATGCACCCCTCGAAACATAAGGAAATCCACGAACCCCTCATTTTATCTGTCAAACTTTCATAGCGAATCAAAACAAACATAGTGTAGTACTGGAATTTACCCTAGAATGGGGTACGTTAATCGATTTGCTTGGGACCAATAGGATTATCAAGTAGTGAGCCAAATTAAAATCGTTAGTTTCGTATTGATTGTTGGTACTACTACATTTGTATAGCACTCATTTGTAGTACCAGAATGGTGGGTTCAGCGTGAATCTATAAAATAAATTTGGAAACTGGTTGATAACAAACTCTACGTCTTTCGGGAAGGGTGCCAATAAAGGGAAATGCAACGAAAATTGGTCAGACTTTAAATGCTAATAACTTGGCCAATAATCAATGGATTTTGATGATTTGTATATCGATCGATTCTGCAATTTTATAAGATGTGTGTGGTATGTCACACATTATAAATGTAAGATATTAAAATAGCTAAAAATCAAGGTTGCAAATACTCATTTCAGCTAAAACAATGTTAGATGCCATGATCATATTTTGAATTGGTAGGATACAAGAAGAGGTTGCAAAGAATTTGTTTGACACATTAAACCTGTTTATTTCTCACTTCATGAGAGTCACAATCAGCGATTTTTCACACACTCACTCACTCACTCACTCACTCACTCAGCGATCAGCAAATCGCTGATTGTGACTCATAGAAAGCTAAATTTACAGGTTTTATGTTTCAAACGCATACTTTGTAACCTCTTCTTGTAAGTTACAAGTAAAACATGCCATCATACCATCTTTTGGTTCTATTATTCCGAAAAACATTACTTTAGCTGAAATGAGTATTTGCAACCTTGCTAAAAATTAGAAAATATGGAAACATTCACATTGTTCATACATTTTCTTCAACCGCAAGATGCTCATCCTTAGCACAGCGATCAGAAAGTTGGTCCCTAACAACACAAGCCGAAGCCGCATAATCATTCAGCGTTGCACGTTGGACGAATTTATTAGGTACAGCGTGGACATCGTAGCATTTTTTTTCTATTCATTCACCTACATCAGCTAAATACAGAAAAAAGGAGGGGCATAGAATGATAATCCAAATGCTAAAGTAAACGAAACGTAGAAAGTTTGACTGAAGTCATCGTTTTGCTGCCGAGTGATAAACAGGGGTGCTTGTTGCGTTGTACACTGAAATCAAAACTAACTCAAGGAGTGAAGAACTTTTGCTCATTCGTAAGGATACATTTCTTAAAGTGTTGGTCACTCAGCGCCTGAGTAATCTACGTAAAAGTGACTAACGCTCTGAATAAGATTCGTTTTCAGTGTAGATTGTAGACTGTTTAAGCAAACCTTTTGGATCCAATGTTTCTAGCGCTGTATGGTGAGTGATTTCTGAACTAAGAGGCTAATCATGCGATAGGTATTGTTCATCCGAATAACATCACTGAATACCTTGCATACGATTTTTAAGCTGTTTTTATTCCGTGTTCTGTATATGCCTACACCTACACAAGCAAGCATTTGCATTGATTGTTATGTATAACATGGTAGAACGACGCACATGTACTTGCCTCGATTCTCTCCAGCAAAAAAGCAAACGAAGTCGAGTATGCGAGGAGGCATCGGAGACGAGCCAGCCAACGGCTGAAAGTCTCCTTAATAAAGATATAAAAAAAAAAAAAAAGTATGCGAGGAAATGAGCTCTCTTGTTAGCTTTTAGCCTATCCATATTCCTCCTAGCCGGCCCTTTTTTTCGACATGATTAATTTCACTCACTAATACACTCCACATTTTTCTTTCTCCATT